TGAATGGGAGAGCTGACCACATGGTTCAATTTACAAAAAAAACTTCAAAAAATTGAACATGGCAACATCCACGAAAAAATCACCAAAATGCTTCTACTACAACACATCACACCCAACACCACTACCAACAAAAGCCCAGCAGAACTGCTCATGGGCAGAAGTCTCCGGTCACCTCTAGATCGCCTGCACCCTGCTTATACCCCAGAGAAACCCCCAGGATCCAGCAGCAAATACCGCACCTTTAATGTAGGAGACACAGTTTTCGCAAAAAACTTTACCAGGGACCCACTATGGATTCCTGCAAAAATCACCCAAATCACTGGTCCTCGCTCCTACCGGCTCAAGACTACCGATGGTAGGTGTGGACGGCACATGGACCAGCTAAGGTCCAGGCTGGCCACCCTTCCCCTCACAGACTCTAACCAAGAAATCAGAGGGGGGGAACCTCAAACTTAGAAAAAGAGCCAATATCTGCGCTAGCAGAACACCCTCCACACACATTAAATAAAAATCAAACATTAAACCAGCAATACTTACCTACAAACAGGGAACCGAGGCAGACAGGAGCTTCACCTGGAAGTAGCATCCGGAAAAGCTCAACCAGCCCAGAGAATCCTGGCGGGAGCGACAGAGCAAGCAACTCGACCAACCCGGATAAACCAGGTGGGAGTCGCAGCTATAGGCCTGGCTCACTCTTCCAGGCAGTTCCAGCGAGAAGCTTGAGAGTGACGCGGAGCCCGTCCGAACCAGACGACGACCAGAGACATTATGAACCACGCAAGTCAAGTAGGCAGGTCCGAAGACCCGCCTACTTACGTGACTACGTTACCCCGCCCCTTGGACGGGACCGGGAGGGGAGGGGTGTTCCATATTAGCCGGCTTGAAGACCTGCATTCCTATTGGTCTAGAAAAGCCGGACCGTCATTGGACGATTTAAACACCCCTGATTGGCTCATATAGGCTTTGCCGCGATTGGCTACAACCAAGCGCGGCAAACTCAAAGAACTATCATTGGCTGCCTAGCCGCGGCCAGCGCTATAAAAAGAGCTGCCGTGGCTGGCTGGGGTTTTGGTCTCAGAATTCTTCCTGCTTAATAAAGAGCTGTTTGTTCACTACTCAAGCCTCGTTCTTATGGGACCCACCGACCGTACTTAACATAATGAGAAATTTCTTGGCAGTAAGAAGAATTAATGAATGGAATATCTTGCCACCCAGAGTTGTGGCTGCTGGAGGTTTTCAAGAATATATTGGACCAGTAGTCACCAACCAGTGGGCCAGGGATCACTGGTGGTCCATGATAAAATTTTGGTGGTCCACAGAGAAATGTCACCCTAAAGTAATTAATCCAGGCTGTGCAGGAACACAAGGCTGTGCCACCCACATGGCCCGGGGAACACATGCCTTTCATCACTTGCATTGTGCATGACATGAGGTAGTGAGGGGAGCGGGAAAATGGCAGAGGGGGGGAACTTTCTCCACTCACCCCATGTGCCTTGCCTGGCCACCGGCTGCTTCTTTCCTCTCCTATCTTCCTCTGCTTTTGGCTGCATGCAAGAAAAGCAGCAAAAGTCTTTCTTTCTCTCCCCCAAACTCTGCCAGAAATGAGTCTTTGGGATCCTCCAAGTCCTCCTGATCCAAGAGGCTGCACGAGTGTGACAAGTCTCACAAAGACTCATTTCTGGTGGAGTTTGGGGGAGAGAAAGAAAGACTTCTGCTGCTTCTGCTGCTTCTGCTGCTTTCCTTGCATGAAGCCAAAAATCTCTCTCTTTCTCTCTCTACCCCTGAGAATGGAGCTGGAGACGGTATCCTGTGATCCCAAATAAAGAATGATCGATCGGTAGGAAAATGGGATGGGGAATTTTCCTGCAGACTTTTTGGGGGATTTTCCCAGGGTCTCTGGTCCACTGGATTTAAAATTATGAGTTTGATGGTCCCTGAGGTCCAAAAGGTTGGTGACCCCTGAATTGGACAACATTTTGTCCAATCTATTAGACAAAGGCCTCCTGTCTTGAGCAGCGGGTTAAACTAGAAGATCTCCAAGCTCCATTTCCAGACTTCTGATTATATTATTCTTTCCTATTCTCATCTTTGCTGTCTTTACTTTAAAGAGGATATGAGGGAAAATATTTTGAATTTGACTATGGCAAAGGCTCCAAAGTATTCAGTTGAAAATGGACAATTAAGATTTGTAAACAGTCCAGCATCTTTATTAATTTCACTGTGTTATATAAAAAGAATTATATAATTCTTTTATGTACAATTATGAGAAAAGAAAAGGCCTTTTCAGTCATTTTTATGCTTCATAAATGATTGCTGAAACTTGATATACTTTATTTCAAATGGTTTTAAATCTAATTTTGGTGCTCCAAAAATTCAAATCACATTTTGAATTGAATCTTGTCTGCATCATAGTTAAAATCTGAACCAGATGTTAGGTATTTTTCATTCTTACTAATTTATCATCAAAAGAACATTAAGCAAGCATTCCTTTCTTCTTTCCTTCCCTCATTTCTTTCTCCCTTTCTTCTGTCCCTCCCTGCTATCCTATATCTCTACCTTTCTTTTCTTGCCCCCTTCCTTCCTTGCTTTTTCTCTCCCTTCCCCCACCTTTCCCTCCTTCTCCAGATTTCTACAATTTAGTGCCGTAGCTTCAACCCTTTTAGAAGACATGTTTGAATTAATTAAATATATTCTGCCATACTGTTAGTGTTACTCTGATTCTTAGTTTAATTCAAAATTTGATAACAAATTTTCTACATCATTCAGACAAATTTTACTTTTAATTCCTTTTAGCTGGTAACAATGGTATTCACTCTTTTTCATCCCAAGACACTCAGCTCTTTTGCAAAACTTTAGGATCACAAACCTGGAATTCTGTGACATTACATGTTGCTGGAAGAAATGGAGGCAGCCTGCCACTGGTGATGATGGCTACATAGGTGGACATCTGGTTACATAGTTATACACCAATTTCTGACATTTGCTTGTGGCTGTTTTGCCTGCAGATCTTTTGTGGAACACAACTGTTCCATGGAAAAGCAGTTGAAATCCTTTGCTCTAAAGCAGAGGTATCAAACTCAAGGCTTGGGGGATGGATCCTGCCCATGGGGTGCTTAGATCTGGCCTGCAGGGCCACCCTGGAAATAGTGAAGAATAGTGCCAGAAAAAACTGAGCTCACAAGGGCTGCGGGCAGCCCTCCCAAGCTCTGTTTTCACTGGCAGAGGTTGCAGGAGCTGAAAATGGAGCCATTTTTGCTGGTAGACAGGTGCCCTGACACAAGTGCCCCACGGGTACCCTGACACAAGTGCCCCACAGGTACCCTGACACAAGTGATGTTGAGCTGGCCACATTCACCCCAGCCCCCCGAGGTCAAACACAACCCTGATGCGGCCCTCAATGAAATTAAATTTGACACCCCTGCTCTAAAATGATATTTTTAGTTATCAATTTTTTTATTCTTAGCAACAACTACTTGTTATATGCTTCATTGATTCAAACAAGATATTTGAAGTGAATATAAATTTCTATTGATATTGCAAGCTCCCAGAAGTTTTCCTGAGCCACTGAGATGCCAAAGAGAGTGAGATTCGAGACAAGGCTTGCAAAAAATAACAGTTTATTTTGGCCAAAGCCAAAAAGTCTGAATGAACACTGTATCCAAACATACAGACAAAATGCATGTAAGGAATAGCCACACCCCTGCAAGAGTGGTTCAGAGTATTATATACATTTTACCCCATTTTATTATATACATTTTACCCCAACTTACCCAATCAGAGAAAGTTTCATTACCAACGTGGTCTTTAAAGCGTTCTTTGTTCAGGTCCCTGTCTCTGACTACCTTATCTATGGAGCATTCCTATTCTCTCCCTGGCCAAGTTGTCTGTTCAGCAGAATGTTTTCAGGATTCAGTATCTATGAGGTAGGAAACTCCCTACTCGGGTTTCTTTATCTATGGGACCTGATATTCCTGGGTAACAGTTTTTTCTATATTTTTAAGAATGTGCCTAGCTTCAAAGCCAGGAACACAAGCAAGATACAGAAGCAAGATAACAAACTTCATATTAATGCTAACCAGTATCAAGGCTACAATTTACTAAGCTAAAATTAATTCCTAACAACTAATTTCTGACAGTATAAGCAGGAGCCAGTAACAAAGGTTAATTCATAACAAATGATTTCTAGCAGTACATCATATCAGAAGCAAACTGGTTTAACCAATAACATAAGCAATTCATAATAAAAGCAAATAGCCAATATTGGTTTGATCACTATACTCCTTCAATATTATTACACCTGCACTTTTTTTGTTAAAAAAAAAAACATCAGTGGTTTGATTGTACCTACTAAACTCTTGAATCTTTAAACTTTGACTGGGTGAAACGATGCATCAAAGGACAAATTGTTTTCAATCAAAGTATCTAAATTGACAACTGAATAGGGGCCATAGCTCCTATACTGCATCTACTAAAAAGTTCTCAGATGAGAGGGATTTCTATGTATATACCCATTAGAGAGTCTATATTGTTTAAAGCTTTTTGACATATTTAGGAATTCATTGTAAATTTATCATCAATGTCACCAGCTGACTTTAAAGAGGGCAATAGGCGGATTGCTCCATCAATCCTTGCATTTCAATTTGTCCCGTAGTGAGCTGTTAGTACATTTGCTGTCCTAATGCTTAGGGTAGGGGTGTCAAACTTGCAGCCTGCAGGCCAAATGCGTCACATGCTATCCCTGGTTTAGCAAAGTCATGTGATGCCATGAGTTTGACGCCCCTGGCTTAGGACAAAGTAGAGCCTGGCTACAGTGAAAGAGCAAATTTAGATTGGCCTACTTTGTGATGTTTCAAGGACTAGAGCAAGGAGGTGTGGTAATTCATGACCTTTTAAGCTTTTGCTGAAAGAGCTATAAAACATTTCTCAGGAATATAGCCCTTATCTTACTGTTCTCATTGTATTAACCATTTTTTTCTGTTTCTTTTGGTTTTTTTTTTCAGGTTTTCCTAACTGAATATACAGGCCCTCTTCTAATCTATCTGCTGTTTTATTTTCGCTTCTCAACTGTTTATGACGCAAAAGAAAGTGCAAGATGTTTACGGCATTCTGTGGTTCAGTAAGTAAGAGTGTCTGTATTTAAGATTTATTTATATAGACACATAAATATGTGCGTGACACACATACACAGAGAGAGAGAGAGAGGAAGAGAAACAACTGGATATCAGGTTTTGTTACTCTTTGGACTATATTTTCAGTCCTCCTTGGAAACAGCTAAAATTCCTTTTCTGTAGTGAACTGTGAATACAAACCTAATATCCTTACTAATATTACTAATATTGGCAGTTATTGGCTGTCTATAATGTCACTATCATTTCACCATTTTATTTTTCAATCCTCAAAGTAGTTTTCTATTCACATTCTCCTCTTACATTTGAACTTAGCCTAATGTTATTTGATCTTCCATGAATATACAAAAAATTCTATTTATTCAGAAAATATTTGTACTTTATTGGAATTCTCTCTATCATCTCCCTTCTCTCTCTCTCTCTCCCCCCCCTTCTCTCATCTATCTATTTTAAATCTTAAAGGGGAAAACAACCCAAGAAGCTTGGGAAACTCTAAAGAATATGATTATAAACACCCAGTTCAACACAATACCATGGAAAAGAAAAATAAGAAATCCAAGAAGAAACTGACATGGTTAAACAAAGAACTCTGACAAACTGAAAACAAAAAAAAGATAAGTACAATAAATGGAAAGAGAGACATATAACTGAGACAGAATACCAACAAACAGCCCAAATTTACAAAGATGAAGTGAGGAAAGCTAAGGCTCAGGATGAAATAACAAAAATAAAAAAACAATATTAAAAAGTTTCTTTCAACATATAAGAAAAACAAAAAGTCAAGGAAACAATTGGTTTGCTAATGGGAGATGATGGTAAATAAGTAATAAGCAGTAGAGAGAAAAAAGAGTTGCTTAGCTCAGTCTTCACACAAAAAGAAAACATAGCCCAATCTACCAAAAACATAACTAAAAGACAGACTAGAAATAAAAATTAAAATAAGCAAAATGGTAAGAGAACTTCTGTCTGGTCTAGATGAGTTCAAATCAATGGGATTTGATGGATTACAACCCAGAATTCTGAAGGAGCTGGCAAATATTATCTCAGAACCATTATACCACATCTTTCAAAGATCTTGGAGAATCAAGGAACTATCTGAGAACTAGAAAAGAGCTGATGTGTTTTTCCAAAAAGAGGGGAGAAAGCCAATCCAGGAAACTATAGATGAACCAGCCTGATGTCAATTCTTGAGAAAATACTGGAAAAGATAGGCAAGAAAACCAAAATGCACAACTCCAGACTAGGTGAAAGTTGGCTCAATAGCAGTAACTTCAAGAGGGATTTTGGAGTCCTAGTGGACAATCACTTAAATATGAGCCAGCAATGTACTACATCTGTCAAAAAACCCAACACAATCTTAGACAGAATCAAGATCACAAGAAGTGATACCACCACTTTATAAGGCCTTAGTATTTGGAATACTGCATCCAATTTTGGTCACCTCAATATAAAAAAAAATGTTGAAACTCTGGAAAGAGTTCATGAAAGAGCAACAAAGATGATTGGAGGTTTGAAGGCTAAAACATATGAGGAATGTTTGCAAGAGTTGGGTATGTCTAGTTTAGTGAAAAGAACTAGAGGCAACATGATAGCAGTGTTCCAATATTTGAGAGTCTGCTACAAAGAAAAGGGAATCAAGCTATTTTCCAAAGCAATAGAAGGCAAGACAAAAAGCAACCTAGAACTAAGGAGAAACTTCCTGACAGTGAGAACAATCAACCAGTGGAACAACTTGCCTTTGTAGATGCTCCAACACTGGATATTTTTAAGAAGCCAATCATTTGTAAAAAATAATATTGGGTGTACTAGAAGAACTCCACGATCCCTTCCTACTCTGTTATTCTGTTATTTTGTTATTTCGATGAAAATGTATACCCCAAAATTGAGGTTTAAACTGGGTATCAGCTGCATAGTGATTATACTGAACCCCAAATGAATGAAACTTTATTAAAATAATAAAGGTTCATTCATTCGGGGTTCAGTATAATCACTATGCAGCTGATACATCAGCCATTACTAGTGTGTGTGTGTGTGTGTGTGCGCGCGCACGTGTGTGTGTGTGTGTGTATGTATATGTATGTGTATGTATATGTATATGTATATGTATGTATGTGTGTGTGTGTGTGTGTGTGTGTATATAATTTTATTCAAAGTTAAAATACAAAATACAAAACTAAATAAAAATTGAAGAAGTTATAAAAAGAAAACACAAAACACAAAGCAATCAGAACATTAAAAAGATGCATCAAACCACCACCACAACATATTATACACATATATTATCCCCTTGAGTTGTATACTGATTAACATGTTACTACAATATTAGTTCCCAGCAGTTGCGAAACAGACCCCTCCCACAAAAAATTAAACTACTAAATCTATTAACAATTTGTTGATCTGACTTCTATATGACATATTAGTGACACAGTGGTTAATAGAAAAAACAATAATAGTAAAACAGAACAAAATTAAAATTTTAAAACTTCCTGCTTGACAGGAAGGTGGATATGCCCAGTGGCTTTTCAGTTGCTTCCAGAGGGAATTGGAATTTTCAAGATTCCACTGGGTCCCCCATTTTTCCAGAAGTCATCTTGGGTCATTCCTAAGTGCTCTCATTCAAAACCAGGGAGCAGCATGCCAAAGAATCAGGTTTAGCAGTGAAATCAACAGATTATCAGTAAGAGAAAAACGATACTCTTACTGTCCAGCAGGCATCTTGAAAATGGTCAGCTGGGACTATTGTTTTTGAACATTCTTACAATGGTCTTAACCAAAGAAGTATCTAAACTCATAAATTAATAAGAAATAAATTCTAAATAGTTATCTATATGAATTTGAAACAATATATTTGGGAAATGTGTTTGTATATATACATTGTGAATATGATGAAGGATAAAATGAATATGGTTGTCTTTTTTCCATATTCTACTCTCTTAAAAAGCTGTTCTCTTGCCCTGTATTTTTAAAGTCTCATAATTATAACAAATTAGGAAACAATTAATTGAAATATATTGAGTTTTTAAATGATAAAACTGCATGTCTTATTGTTAATTCAAATCATGCATGTGTATTTTGACTGTTGCAGAACCACATAGGTCAAATAGTTCCAATGCATGTCTTGTCTGCAAATTCTATCTCAGTCTATAAATACAAATGAACGTAACAAAAAACAGATGAAATAAAATACTTTCAGCAACTTTTAGTAGTTATAATCAAATTAAATGAGTTGGCTGAGTTCAATTTAATTGATAAATTGGATAAGTTGAATTTTTAAGTTGGCTAAAGTTTTTCCTTTTAATAACAGCACTTCAAAATTACCTGTGTTTTAGTATATTCGAAGTATTTCATCTGCATGAACTTTTTAATGAAAAAAATGTCAGTATTATAATAATCTACATTTTTCAAAATCAGAGTGATTTGCTGTAGGCTACTAAGCAAATGAATCATAGACAGAGCAAGTTGTTTAGATTCTTTGCTATGATAGATTAGGTTTGAGCTACAATAGATTAGATTTCAGCCTACAATAGCATCAGATTTGTTTTTTTAAAAAAATGTTTATTTCTTATTCTTGATTATTTCTGCAGTTTGGCCTGCATCTGTCACTGTTTACATTATATCAGGCTTCTTCTGGAAACGCTCTTTGTGCACAAGATCTCAGAAGGACATACACCACTGAAAAATATGATCAAGGTGATTAACATTCATAAAATATACTATAGAAATGAATAAGCATTAAAAAGGTATTCTTAGTGTGTTTGTTGCATTTCTGTCCTGCTTTCTGAGTTACTCATGTGGTGCGTTATATTCTCATCTGAACAACCCCTCCAATTTAAGTTAGGTTAAGAGAGAATGATAGGTGGAGGTCAGTAAATTACCCTGAAAATTTAATTGCAGGCAGTGTACAGGTTGTCCCCAACTTACAATAGTTCGTTTAATGATGGCTCAGAATTAGAACGGCACTGAAAAAAGTGACTTATGACCATTTTTTTTAAAGTTACAACCTTTCCAGCATCCTCATGATCGTGTGATCAAAATTTATATGTTGGGTAACTGGTTCATATTCATGACCTTTGCCCAGGATCATGAGATCTCCTTTTACATCCATTTGATAAGCAAAGTCAATCAGAAAGCCAGGTTCACTTAACAACTGGGTAACTAACTTATCAACCACAGTGATTCATTTAACAATTGAGGCAAGAAAGGTCATAAAATGGGGAAAAACCAACTTAACAAATAGTTATGGTTATAAGTTGATGACTACCTGTACTTGTGTGTGTTTTATATATATAAAATGATGGATGGATGGAAGGATGGACTGTATATATATGGACTGTGTGTGTGTGTGTGTGTGTGTGTGTGTGTGTGTGTGTGTGTAATTTGTTTTCTTAAGTTTTTGCGGGTACTTACATGTATGTTATTCAGCTTTGATTGGGTATTTTCCCATGTCATTATAGTTGTGCTTTTAAAGTTGTAGCAACGTTTC